ACGATCAACGACGCTGTGGGGTTTTGTATCGATTTCAAGTACGAAAACTACCTACCTGACGTTCCCAAGCTTCAAGGAAGATGTCGCGTTCGCGATCATCGTCGGACAGGAGGCGGCGCAGACACTCATCATCATCTAGATATGATGAAAGTAGCTCCAGATTGAAGGCATGTTGGAAATCGACGACGACAAGGACAACAAAGAGAGCGACTGCGGAAAATCATGAGGAGAGATGATGAGTACACTGCAAGGATAGGGAAAGTGGCGGAGAAGGACTGGGAACGAAGGGTATAAATACTGAGGATAGTGGTTGAAATGATTACCCGACCAGTGAGGTAGAAGGGTAACCGTGACTGGTGTCGCACGCCATGGACATTACGTGTATGTTGTGAAAGTAAAACCTCGAACGTTCTGTCTACATTTGCATGTGTTTATCTCTATGCACGGTGCTTAGAACTTGCGGGCGGTACCCGCGTTGATTGGCACTGTATAGACCTGTCACTCTTCCATTTTACATTCACTGTCTTTATCTCTCTCTCATCATTCTTAACCTTTTTCTTTCATGATATCATAGTGACGATTTGTTGGAGATTACTATAGCGTGGAGATTACTCAGCGATTTTTGAAGATTCTATTTTACTCATCTGGAGTGTACTGAAGACGATCAACGACGTTGTGGGTTTTTTTATCGATTTCAAGTACGAAGACTACCTACCTGACGTTCCCAAGCTTCAAGGAAGATGTCGCGTTCGCGATCATCGTCGGACAGGAGGCGGCGCAGACACTCATCATCATCTTCGGGATCTCAAGGGAGGAAGCGCTCAAGAAGGGGAAGATCGAAAACTCCAAGAGATAGAAGACATAAGTCAAGATCACCATCGTCACAGAGAAGAAGGGCGGAGTCAGAAGCTCCAAGGTGATTCTCGATACCATTGTGAGAGCAAAGACGAAATGATTTCCCCCCACCGGAAAATAGAGCGTGGTTTACGACGGATCTAAATGAACAAATCTTTAATCTCCACCGGGAGATGGACAAAATTATCAAGACACTGGAGCAACTCACACGAAAGACAAGTGAAAAGCAGCCAACTCCTCTGAATAAGGAAGACACCGCAAAGAAGCCTGAGCTAACTCCGGACGCGCTCAAGTCCATGATTGATGAAGCACTGAAGCCGACAGAGATGAACCAAGGGGGACATAATCAAGCTAGTCCAAGTGCAGAAGGAGGTCAACAACCTGAAGCTACTAAAGTATGATCTGGCGGTTGTGAAGGGCGCGTTGCAGAAGATCAATGAACCGATTCGTACCTGCACTCCGATCGTGTCGTCTTCGGTTCATCCAAACGGATATGTGGGGACAATGGCTGGGCTACCAACTTCAGTACATGGTAGCCACAGCATTCCGAGTCGAAGCATACCAAGCAGAAGCGCACCGAGCAAAAGCAGATTGGGACGCGTAATCCCTCCACACCCCAAGAGAGGACGAACGCAGATTAATCGCAACGTGTCGGCAACGAAGTCGAAGGCAAAACGGAGCATTAATTTCGGGGTCGAACCGATGACAGACATGCAGCTCATTCGTCTTCATTGCACGGACCTGAAGGTCTTATGCAAGATGCATGACATCAGGTACAAGGACAAACCGCAAACGATCTCGACATTGAGGCAAGTTCCTGGATTGATCGCCTACAAGGGGCGGGACTTCAATTGGGATTCTGATCTTGAAACACAAATCATGCCAGATCCAGATAGCATCAGAGTGTCCAATACAACTGGCGGTGACACAAGTGAGGATTATTACGAGAGTCTTAGTACAAGATCAAGCGGGAGTGATGATTATGACTCATCCGAGACATCTTCGAGCGCCGAAGATCTGTCGGGAAGGTAGAAGACACCTCAGCATCGGGCGACCTCACCACGACACAGAAGTGGGAGCAGATACACAGACTATCAATGAAAATTTAGCAACTAGTTAGTACAGGGAGTTTCACCTTGGTGTAGACATATGTACGTGGGGAGGACAGGTAGACAGCCCGACAAGAGATGGACTGAACACATAAACTTGGCCAAGAATCCAAATAGAGGAGCACAACGGAAACTATGCAGTTGGTTGCACTTCAGTACATGGTAGCCGCAGCATTCCGAGCCGAGGCATGCCAAGCAGAAGCGCACCGAACAAAAGCAGATTGTGACGCGATATCCCTCCAGACCCCAAGAGAGGACGAACGAAGATTAATTGCAACATGTCGGCAGCGAAGTCGAAGGCAAAACGGAGCATTAATTTCGGGGTCAAACCAATGACAGACATGCAGCTCCTTCGTCTTCACTACACGAATATGAAGGTCGTATGCAAGATGCATGACATCAGGTACAAGGACAAACCACAAACGATCTCGGCATTGAGGCAAGTTCCTAGATTGATCGCCTACAAGGGACGGGACTTCAACCGGGATTCTGATCTTGAAACACAGATCATGCCAGATCCAGATAACATCAGAGTGTCCAATACAACTGGCAGCGACACAAGTGAGGATGATTACGAGAGCCTTAGTACAAGATCAAGCGGGAGTGATGAGTATGACTCATCCGACACATCTTTGAGCGCCGAAGATCTGTCGGGAAGGTAAAAGACACCTCAACATCAGGTGACCTCACCACGACACAGAAGTGGGAGCAGATACACAGGCTATCAACGAAAATTGAGCAACTAGTTAGTACAAGGAGTTTCACTTTGATGTAGACATATGTACGTAGGGAGGACAGGAAGACAATCCGACAAGAGATGGACTGAGCACATAAACTTGACCAAAAATCCAAATAAAGAAACGCAACGGAAACTGTACAGTTGACTGCACAAATTTGGTTGGGAGAAATATGTTCTGATACCCATTTGGACTGGAGTGAGATCAGAGGTGATAGGGATGGAAGCAGCACTGATTAGGAGACTGAATCCATTCTTGAATACAAGGGAAAAAGACAGAAAGACTCAGAAAAATCGAAGACGAAGAAGGAGAAAGAGGAAGAAGAACAATGAGGTGAATCAGAATATACCTGTTTTGTTTAAATCGGTTCAAAAGAAGAATGATATGGAGATTTTTTTTCACATATCAGAAGTATGGGAAGTAAGAAGAAGATTGACATAATGTATCCTATCACCATTGGACATAAATCCCGGAGAAATTTTTGTGGAATGCCGTAAAATCTAGTACGAGAAGATCCGAAAACTCTTTCCGGAATCGAATCACTACGAAATTATACAACAAACGAAATCTGAGATCACTCAATTGGCCAAAAATACATATTATGGATGTGGGCTGAAGAAAATCGCAGAATAGGATGAACAGGGATCATACGGAAATGCGTATACAATTCAAAAAGACAAGGACGTCACCAGACACCGACCAGTTGTGTCGACATATAAGGAGTCATCTCGGAAAGCATCGAAAGTACTATCAAGAACTATCAACTTCATGTGTCAAGCATTGAAAGTTGGTTTCTCACTAAAAGGAACGAACCAACTACTACCTAGACTGAAGAAATGCAATCAAGTAGCAAAAGAAACATACAGGGATATGACTACAATAATCTGCTCCACATACGACGTCAAAGATATATTTTCGAATCTCGATCACACACATATCTTAAACGCCATGCAATGGATGATGAATACGGCGAAAGAAAAACGGAAAACGCACTTCTGTTACGAGATGAGAGAAAAGTATATGAACTTTGTGAAAGTAAACGGAACCTACGGATGGAGAACATTAAAAATTGAATGCCTAATGGATCTGTTGTACTATGACATCAAACACGCATACTTCAAACTTCAAAGTACAAGGAACATTATTATGCCAAGTAATGCGGATACCAATGGAGAAGGGCTTTAGCCCACCCATTGCCAACATGGTATGCGCGTTCGACGAATACAAATGGTGTGCGCAGACTGGAATTGGTGAGAAACTTATCAACGGTATAAGTTTTGTGGACGATGTAATGATGATCATAATAGCAAGTAAGGAAGATCGAACGAAAGAGTTGGAATGTCTGAAATTTTTTCAAACATGCTACCACCAATCTCTAAAACTTGAAATCACATCAGACAACGCGAACAAAGAATGAACATATCTGGAAACAAGGGGGACAAAATCAATCAATTAATAGAATCATAAGATATGATGAAAGTAGCTCCAGATTGAAGGCATGTGAGAGCGACTGGGGGAGATCCTGAGGATAAATGATTAGTACGCTGCAAGGATAGGGAAAGTGGCAGAGAAGGACTGGGAACGAAGGGTATAAATACTGAGGATAGTGGCTGAAATGATTACCTGAGCAGTGAGGTAGAAGGGTAATCGCGACTGGTCTCGCATGCCATGGACATTACGTGTATGCTGTGAAAGTAAAACCTCGCACGTTCTGTCTACATTTGCATGTGTTTATCTTTTTTTTTTTCTCTCTCTCTCTCTCTCTCTTTTATCAACAAATGGAACAGAACTCTCTCTCTCTCTCTCTCTCTCTCTGGTAGCCCCCCCCCCTCCCTCTCTCTCTATTTCTTTCTCTCTCTCACACTCATAACAATAAATGGAACAAAACTCTCTCTCTCTCTGTCTCTCTGTCTCTCTCGTGTTAGCTCTTAATCTCATTGATTTGGCTACATTAGGGCTGCGTTCCCCGGTCTCTCTGTCTCTCTCGTGTTAGCTCTTAATCTCATTGATTTGGCTACATTAGGGCTGCGTTCCCCGCGCCCATGCTGTAGACAATGCGTCCTGGTCTCCCCCCGCAGAAAATGCGACACCCTAACACAGACGCCGAAGCCCACTATACCGCAGCCTTAGGGCTGCGAATTTCCTAAGGAGGCGGGCGTCAGGGTGAACAAGGCGGGTTGGTCCATCGCCGCTTCGGTTGAGGCACGGTCGAACCTGAGCACTGGAACAGTCCGATTAGCGCTTGGATGAGGTGGACGTTGCGAGCATTGCACGCATCGGGTCCGCGTCTAGAGTAGTAGAGTAGTAGTATAGACAGCGATCTATAGTTTTCTCTCGACTACGCAGGTGTTGGTGCACGGAGGCCGTCAATCGCTCGAGCTGAGCTTGGCGCGAAGATGGCGGCAGACTGCTGTGTGACACGTGGCAGACAGAGACTCGCTCACGTTATTGTAGCAGGTGCTTTAAGTGTCGTCCTGCAGCTCCAACTTGCGTTTGCTCTTTACGGCGCGCAAAGCGATGTCACTATCCTCACGCCGTCGAACTTCAAATCAACGGTGAGTGCAACTGCTCAGGAATGATCACAATTAATGTGCGCGCCAAAACGAACAAAGGTGACTGGTGTGTCAGTCAGCCAATGAAACGAATTTATGAATTGTCGTACTTGACAGCACCTCGTAGAATGTTTTCGTCAGGGATAGAATGTTCGTCCACGATAGAATGTTCTTCTCTCTTCTCCTATCCTCTCTCTTTCTCTTTCCTGTTTTTGTCCTGTTTCGTACTCTCATTTCTCTCTCTTCATCTCTTTGTCCTGTTTTCTCTCCCATTTCTTTTTCCCTCCCTACCTCTGTCGTTCATTGTCAGTCTTGTCGTCTCTCTCTCTCTCTCGATTTCTCTCCCTCTCTCGCCCTCTCTCCTGTGTCGTTCATTTTTCGTCCTGCCAGCTCGTCCCTGTGCCTGATCTGGTCGCCGGATTCGGCACGTCAACTGACGAAGGAAATGCCTTCGCTTTCCCCAAGAAGCCACCACTCTTACTTCTACCCGTCAAACATAGCTATCAAGGAAATAGGAGGAACCACAAAACGGCGCCTGGATAAAAGGGACGAGATTTTCCCAGCGGCTTTGAGGATTACGCGCGTTTGTGCGTGTGTTTGTGTGTGTGTGTGTGTGTGTGTGTGTGTGTGTGTGTGTGTGTGTGCGCGATTTGTTTTCTCAAAAACAGTGTGTGTGTGTGGTCTGGTCTCTTATACACATCTAGATGTACAAGGGACGGGACTTCAACCGGGATT